GCTTACGTGTGAACACAAGGACAAGACCACCGCAACAAAAGCAAAGCGATAACAAAACACAAAAGATGAGCTGCTGCTTCGTTTTTTAAGGAGGAAAACCAAAAGCACGAAGAAGGAAAAAAAACATGAAAACAAATGGAAGAGCCACGTCGTCATGTCAAACCCCAGCCTGCCAGCTGTTAACTGAATTAACCTTCCCACCCAGAAAAGAAGGGCTGTGTAAGTGATGCAGTCATTGTCTGTCTGTGATAATTAGGTTTTGTGGCTTCCTTGACAATGAGGTCGTGTATTTTCTGCGACCGAGAGCGTGTTTGTGTAAGAATCATATCCCAGCTTAAACGAGCACAGAAGAGCCTTCAACAAACAGCGAATCTTCGATCAAACTGCTAAATCAAGCCTATTTACAGAAGGACGTGCAGCATTAAATACGCCCTGACTGCACTTTAAAAAGTATCCAACCCTCTCATGCTAATTTAAGCTCAGAAACATTTTCAGTGTTACTTTAAGGATGTACTGTTTCTTGTTCTCCAGCTCCAGTACTATTGGAGGACTAGTAATAGAGTTAGTAGAGTAGAGTTTAAAGGTATACATTTCAAAAATTACATGGTTGTCAAAGGTCATACACAAAAGTCAGCTAATATATTTAAAAATAGTGAGTGAGAATCTGGCAAGAGGAGTGCTAGAACAAAGAAAAATAGTGCAACACTGTGGTGTATAAACCTATAGAATAATGACGTGTTCAGTTTAATCAAAATCAATATAATGATTGATGTAATAAATATGCATAGATGTTTCTTGCATGTCAATGAATATTTGATTTTACTGTTGCATCTACAGTTTAACAAGACATGAAAAATGAGTAAAACCAAATTAGCTTTGAAAAAAAGAGAAAAGTTTAAAAGCATCATGTTTTACAGTGTAGAGGCTGCAGAGAGGACAGCATTTATACTTTTGAGTTTCGTACGTGGTGTATGTTATTTATTATGTTTGTTGTGTTTATCTTTATTTTAAACAGCTGTAAGCTGTAAGAAATTAAATAACGCATAAATTATCTTCTCTTGCAGTTAGTTTCTCAATATGTAACACTGCAATGTAACAATTTTATATTTTTAGATTAGTCTTATAACATTACAAAAACATTACAACAGCGGCAAGAGTTACGCAAGTTTAAGACCCTTCTCAGATGGTTTGGTCACTCTAAGAGCTTTCAGTGTGTTAAACTTCTGTACTGGTTCTCTTGGCTCATGGAAATCAGTTTAACCACTGAATAACATGAAGTAATCGATGCATCAGGCATGTGTTACGACGATACAGTCTGAATGCTGTACCTATCCTGCTACAACATTCAGACTGATTAATGTCTCTGCATCAAAGCAGAACCAAACAGTGAATGTCTCATTCCTCTGAGGCCATCATCAGCCAAGAGCATCAGATATCCTAATGTAAGGATAAAAATTGTGTTCCTTCAACATTTGAGAGAAATATGAATGTACTGATAATTATGTGCCTTCCACAGATCTCCAATATTAACCTCACTCTCCAACTTCAGGATAAACCTCAGTGCTGCCACTCAGTACAAACGTGCAGCAGATTTTAGAGTAAACACTCTCAATGATAGCTGTGCATGTCCACATGGTTCTTTTCTGAATTTCAGTACAATTTTGCACTAACTCAGCAAACACCAGATAGAAAGTGTCCTTGGTAAACACAGAAACTGCTTTACCCAATATCAGCACTGGCTTCTGTAGGGCTCATGAACCACAGCCGATCAAACCTTCAGATTACTTCCTAATACGATTTACTTACTTAACCTTCATAACACACGATGAGCGATAAAAAAAAAAAATCATCCAAATGGCTAAATGTAAACGTTGAAAGGCATAAAAAAATGATATGGAATGATTTGTAACTTCTTTATATTAAACTGATGGGGAAATGCTGTGCTCAGTGAGGACTAATTAGGACTAATAAACTAATTTAACACCAAGAAGATACTCATGCTTTTGCCAATACACCCCTTTAAAATAACATGAGGGTATGCAAGTGAGAAAATAGTACCTATTTTCAAGCCTGAGTATTTACAGTCTGTGTTTAAATGACTGTAGACCAGAGAGAAGGTACCTTATGTTCCCCTCGTGGATCACCTCACAATCAGGCTGCCTGATATGGCAAGAAAGCAGAAGGTAAAGGGAAAGAAACCACACACACACACACACACACACACACACACACACAACCACACACAACCACACACACACACTGGTTAGTGTGCAAAGAGAATATAAGAATATAAAGACAGAAATATAGGTGATAGAAATTCAAAAATCCTCTAAAAAAAAGCAACTGAAACTTGAATTACAGAAAGAAAAGGAGTCGTAGTCACAGGACAGTTATCTAATATGACGGCGCACACTGCAGACACCTACAGCGACCTTTTGTTTCCATTTCCAGCTTCACATTGCACACTAAAAATCTGTGTATGTCATGGTATTTGGGGCTTTTTAAATGACTTCTTTAATTTCTTTAATGACTTTAGTTGTGGTCAATCATGATAACTAATGAGAAGTTAACAGGCCTAAACTTCTGACCACAGCTCTACATAAACACTTACGTTTATTCAAGTAACCTCCCAATTTTAACACCTTACTGTGGGTGAAACTCCTGAGTGAACCACTAAAAGTGTGGAACTGTCAGGACATTGAGAAAAACTGATCACAATTATGGAATCAGCTGAGATGTTACAAATGACCAGTGTTATCTCAGAACTTCTCTTCAATTAGCATAAGACACAGTAGAAACCAGGAAGTCCTTTTCTCTAATAATAAAATGTCCAGAGACGACAAACACAGCTGACCTCTATGTGTTGTAGAAATGGCTCATTCCTGAAAGTGAAAGCAGAATCACCTTCAGGCTATGAAGCTATGAGATCTGCTTATTACCAAATATCCTCCTCGTAATTGATTCAGCCAGTGTCATTTATGGTTTGTGAGGCTGCATAACCAGTTTGTCTTTTGCAGTTTAATTAAATAATAAAATGAATGAAAGCATCTTTGGTGTAACTCAATATCCCCCATATTTTAGCGAATGAATGGCAATTACATTAAACTCGGGGAGAACATAATGCTTTTACACATCATTGTTTGACTGTAACTGAGTCCTCCATAATTGATTTTATAAATGGAAAGCTTTCCAGAGGAGAAGCTGACAGATCCCAGATGACCACGAGAGCGGCAAATTAAATGACAGTGATAGTCGCTGCTGGACGTTTGACACTAACGAGCCAGTAATTGATTCTTCTCGTTACTGTCAGCATTACTCTGTGCACAGACAAGATATTATTAGTTTACATTTGTTCCCAATCATGGTCCATCATGAAGACGTACCATATGCGGCCAGATGCGTAAAATAAAAATGGCGTGAAACAAAAACAACTGAAAGTACTTAAATGTTGACTAAACAAAATACAATGAGAAATATGAGATTATCATTCTGATACATTAAAAAAAATAATACAAATTCAAAGCTTTTAGAACATGGGTTCCACTTCCTCTATTTAATTATTTGCAGCACACCAAAACAGCTACTGTATTTATTTATTATTAATCCACCAGCTTTGGATCCTCTGTTACATTTAACAGATTCTTGCATATCACATGAGATACTAAGTACTTATAAAATATTTTCTTACTTGCTCCAGTAGACTCCCCCCTCGATGGCTTGCATTTCTCCAAGCATGGCCAGCAGCAGGGAGGATTTCCCACAACCCACCTGGCCCACGATCATTGTCAGCTGACCTGAGATAGAATGAAATGAAAAAGGTGGTGATGGTAAACTACCTAGAAACTCAGTTGATCTCCTAAAGCCACCATTTCACTGGTGACCCATGTGGAGAAAGTATTAGGTGTTCTTTTAGCCACATGCTAAACAGACTCTTTGCAGTCACGTAACGAACTAAAAAAAACCTTTACTGCTTCCATAGCAGTTAAGAGGGTAAGTATGAGCCAGGTTTAGCTAATGAAAAGTAGATGTTGTGATAGTTTGCTGGTGCGTGTTAACACAATGCCCAAATCTTCCCAGGAGGGGACATCTTAGAAAATTCAAACTATGCAATACTCAGAGAAATTCCAAAAAATCAAAGACCTACATCTCAAACTCGACAGGCCTTAGTTAAAATTCATGACAAAACAATCAGCCAAATACTGAAGAGGCATGGTGGTTTGGAATGATTGTAATGTTACATCTGAACAAACAATGTGGAGATGTTTGGACATAATGCACAGCACCACAGCATGTCAGCACATACACTTCATACCAGCACCTTGCACTTACTGAGTCAACCATGAAATCTTCTGTATGCAAAAGTATTGTAGAGTCAAATGTGAGGCCATGTGTCCGACAGCTAAAGTTTGCACCACTGAAAGTCACCCTGACTGAAATCCTACCCTACAAGCTTTTGAATCATGCAGTGTACTTAGTACTTAGTTTTTCAGATGACTGCATAGAGTTATGTGAAAGCTTCATTTTTCCACGATTGCAGACGATGAAGTGTAACACCTGTTTTAACAACAAGTTGGGAGGCTGTGGAAAATCTAAATGAAAACAATGATTTTCAAATCTCACAGATGTTATTCACAACTGCGCATAGAAAACAAATTTAGTTTAGACTGAGAAAATGTACGATCGATGGCAGCAAAAGGTCTGGAACTGATTCTCAGATTAAGATTCATACGTTTGACGATTACATTTTTCAGACGAAAGATTTTTAATGTGGGGGTAGTTGTATAAAAAGGGGGTGGGCGTGACCTGAACCCAAACCTAACCTTGCCTTTAACTCTAGCTAAATGTATCTGGTGGATGCTACTTTATTACAGAGTAAGGCACACTGTAACCTTTTAATATTTAAATGTTCATGATTTTG